GCTCTTCAGGCTGCCCCCTTTAGGCTCAGTCCTCCGTGATCACAGAACCCAGCTCTCAAATCCCCCGGCGGCGCCAGGAATCCCGCGGATCTCCTTTCCCCAATCAGGGGCTGTGCCTGTCCCAAGGGACGTGGCTGTCTGCCACGCGGTCTCCCTCCGACCCTCTGGGCTCAGAGGTCTGGCAAACTTTCCTGCCCAAATCCCTGGGTATTTTTTTACCTTTCCAGGGGAGTTCTGCCCTTCCCGGCTGCAAACCGTCTCACCAGCTGAGCAATTTCGCCAATTCGGGGTGGGTGTTATTAGTTTCAGCTGCTCACTCCATTTGCTTCGGGACATGACCTGGGACGTGTCTGCCTATATCGCCGCCATCTTCTTTTCCTCTTTATCATTTAAACTGCATGATTAGCATCTTTTAGTTACACTTTGAATCGTACTTAACCATCAGTTTTATGTTGCTAAGAGTAATACTTTATTAGCCTTCATAACTAGACTACACATTTTCTGTTGTTTCTCACATTCCAGTTATTCCTGACTCAAATAGGACTTCTACTGATCTCTCTACACTTAAATGGTCTTGTCAAGGTCTTTAATGATCTTGTTGCCAAATCTAGTGGACCCTTCTCTGTCCTTACGTTAATTAATCCCTTAGCAGCATTGGACATCATAGACTCCTTCTTGAAATAATTCTGTGTTGACTCCCACAGTACTGCTTTCTCTCTCTCTCTCTCTCTCTCTTTTCTTCCTTCCTTCTATTCTACCTCACCAGCCACTCCTAATTGCTGGCTGGCTCTTCCTCCTCCTGACTATTGAGCTGTGGAGCCCCAGGCCCTTTTCTGTACTCTGCTCAGGTTAGCTCATATATGCCAGCCTGTGCTTGAATTATCTAAATGCTGAGGTTATCTAACTGTTAACTTTTCTGTATCTAGCCCAGATCTGTTCTCTGAGCCCAGGTTTATAAATGAATCAGCCTGCTTGACATTTCCACTGGAGTAGGCGTCTCAAGTTTATAATTTTTATTAGGAAACTCTTGATCTTTTTCTTCTCAACTTTCCCCATTTTTGCAAATGGCACCTATTTACTCAAGCAAGAAACCTAGGAGTCAGACTTGGCTCCTGCATCTCTCACTTTCTGTGCCCCAGTCATTACTCCTCTCTCTCCAGGGCATCCTCCTGGTCCAGCCACCGCCAGTGCTTGCTCTGATCACCATTCTACCCTGTCTCCTGCTTCCCTGCCTCCCTTCTTTTCCTCCTCGGGGCCTTACGACAGCCAGAATGAGCTTTTAAAATACAGAAATTAAATCATATCATTCATTTGCTTAAAAGTTCAGTGGTTTCCCCCTGTTTTAAAGAAGAAGATCCAAATTTCTACCATAATTTTCAAGGTCTGTGAGGTTTAGCCCTTTCATATCATCTTGTTTCCTCTTCATTCACTGAGCTGAAGCCAGCCTGCTGGTGCCTTTTGATTGATTCTGCAGTATACCATGCTCTCTGGGACACCTTACAAATGAGTGTTGATACAGGGACCTGGAGTCCCGTTCTCCCTGCTTCTCAGCATTGTTTTGTAAAATTAGTTAACGGGCAGAGCCACAGACTCATAAGACTTCCCATGGGCTTCTATAGTTCTGTGGCAGAACTCTGATTCGGAGCATTAAATAAAGCATGTTCTCCATAGTGTTTCCCTGGTCCTTAAATTAGGTCTCAGGTTGAAGAATTGTAAGTGCATTTTTTGTGATACAGCCATATCTTATGAGAATCCATTACACTGTATTCTCTTTGAGGGCACAGGTAGTGCCCTGGTCCTAGATGTGTAGTAATGAATGGCATGATTGATGAGGGAAGATAGAGATAATCACTCTTTATATCTGATTTAAAAAGCTAACTGTCTCTGTGTTTAATCTCCACAGGGTTTAGGGGCTCAAGAGCAAGGAGCCACAGAACATATTAAAGTTCAAGTTAAAAATAACCATCTGGGACTTGGAGCCACGATCAATAACGAAGTGAGCAACAGTGTGTCTGCTGGGGGTTTTCCTTGCATAACTGACTTTTTGTAAATATATACATTTTAAGTCGATCAAATTGATCCGTTTTTAACTGTTCAAGTGTGTACCCTCCATGTTTTGGTTGAGTAAAACGCCCGTAGCTGAGCTGGTTCTTTATCACGTGTCCTGCCTGCCCCCTCGGCCTTACTGTCTTCGTGGGGTTCTTTCCTTGCGTATGTGTAAGAGATGCAAACTAGTTTTTTTGCTAAACTTTGCAAAACGTATTCTTTTTATAGAAATACTCATTTCAGGACAGACAAGAAGTTTTACCTTTACCTGTGTTCTAATATTAGCTTATATTATTAAAAGTTGCTGACATTTAGTTTCAGAAAGAAATTAAAAGATTCTCCTGCAAGAAAATGGTACACTTTCCCTGTACCATTGTCTGTTTCCGACTGTTGGTGTATAGCAGTTAAATTTATGCACATTTCCTCGTAAACACTGACACTTTGTAAATATGACACTGTAATTAAAAATTAATGGCCTATCCAGTCATCATGCTTTTTATTTTCAGAATTATTTGCTTCAGACAGCATCTAAGCTGAAAGCTTTGTTCTTAATTATTTTTTTAAAGTTTCTTACGTTTTTCAATATTCTTAAATTTTTACAACCAACAGAATCGGGTAGAAAATCTGGAGCATTTCATTAGGTAAACTGAATTCCTTTGATTAGTTCAGAAGCCCTGAGTAGTAGACTAGATCAGCCACATTTTCTGGACTAACAACTAAAATTTTAAAAGACTACAGAGGGAGTTTATATAAAGTTGATTTTGAAGGTAGTTGCTGAGAGATGTACAATGTACTTCATTTTTTAAGAGAAGCATTGTCCAGTAAACCTATTTAACATGCTTAACCTTAAGCAGTCTTAAAATGGTGTGTATGAGGCAAATGCCTCCATTGATACCTTGCTTCCCACGGGTTAGGTGGTTTTGGAGATGTTCCTTCGCTCTTAAAGCCAGGTTCTCTTTGTTATAACGAACTCACTAGCTTGTCACCGTACCGATGGGTGCCGATTGATTCCCGGGGCTTGGAGTTCTTTCTCCTCCATTCTCCAGTGTTATTTTGTAAAAGGGGGTCCATGCCAGCAAATAGAATTGGGCAAAATATTTAAAGTTCAGATGAGCAAGGAAGAGTCCCTAAGTTCATGATTGCATTTTTCCTTTGACTTATATGATTTTCCCTTAGTGAGAAAAAAATTTTATTTTGCTTTATTTTAATATTTAGCATATAGGTTGCCTACTGATTATTTGACTATAAATTGACTATGTGTAAGTTATCCACATTTGAAATCAGGGCTGAAGTTTTCAAGGAGCCCATTTGTAATACTAAAATAAATATATTTCATTTCATATCAACATTATATCTTTCAAATTTTAAATATCTTGGTGAAACATTTAAAAATTCATGCTAACCACCAGATTTCCTTGATTCCAAGGTATCGCTTATCTCAGCCAGTGTAGGTAAACTATGGACTTGCCTCTAATGATTTTTTTGTTTGTTTCAGGACAACTGGATTGCTCATCAGGATGACTTTAACCAGCTTCTGGCTGAACTGAACACTTGTCATGGACCAGAAACAGCAGGTAGGGGACATCTTTGCCTTGTTATCCATTAGATTTATAAAACACAATCTCTCAATTTAAAATGTTCTTACCAACTATTTTTACTATATGCATCACATATCCAAAAGTTAATTTATTGAAGCAATTAGAAACAGTCTTTCCTGTTTATATTTTGATAGTACTTTCATTACATGTAAAAAGACAACACTTCTGATTTAAGAGTTTGAGAATGGCAGGATAAACCCATTCAGTTTACAGCCTCAAATAGTAAAGTGATCTTTCCAGGGTTCCTTGAATGTGTCTAAAAACATTTTAAAAATACAAAGCAAGAAATATCAATTGGAACCATAAATTAGCAGCCAGCAAAGGCTTAATAGAAAAGCCTGTTTTTTGTGTTGATTCTACTTAATTAAACTGTTTTACCTTTTAATGTATTAAGAGATTTTGGGTATAGTAAAGTTTGTTGCAAGGGGCTCAATACTAGAAATTGTATTCCCAAGCTGTAGGAATTAGAAATGAAACAATTGGACATTGGGCTTCCCATAGTAAGTTTAAGTGTGCAGTTCAGTGACATTAAGTATGGACACATTGTTGTGCTACCATTATCACCATCCACCCACAGAACTCTTCGTCTTATAAAACTGAAACTCTATCCCCATTAAATACTAACTCCCAAGTCCTTCCTCCCTCCAGCACTTGGCGACTACCATTCTACTTTCTGTCTCTGAATTTAACTACTCTAGGTATCTAATGTAAGTGGAATCATAGTATGTGTCCTTTTGTGTCTGGATTATTTCACTTAACATAATGTCCTCAAGTTCCTCCATGTTGTAGTATCCAATGTTGTACCTTCCGTTTAAGGCTGAATAATGTTCCATGCTATGTATATACCCCATTCTGTTTGTCTATTCATTCATCGATGGACTCTTGGGTTGCACCTCTTCTCACCTCTTGGCTTTCGTGGAGGTGTAAATGTTTAGGCTTTAGTTCAGCAAACATTTATTGAGCTATGTGCTGGATATGAAGTTAATAGACTCGAGAATATGCAGATGTATATGACATAATCCCTGCTTGGGAAGTAGCAAACAGGATATGCTAATAATTGGTAAAATTGTAGCATGAATCTAACAGTGGGAAGATTTATTGTAATGCTATATATGGGAGTGAGCCCAAAAACATCAAGGGAGGTACTCTGTATTTTTGCTAATCAGATTGGACTTCTTGTTGGAATCTATAATGTGGACTGTTTTCCTTGTCCATGGTTTAACTATTAGAACTATCCAATATGTGGTCCTAACATAGAAGATAATTTGTTAGCCAAAAGAAAATGTTTTGTGAAAACACTTACTGGACTGATATTAGGAAATGCAGGGTCTATGCAGCAGTAAAATTCAAGGACATTAGCCCTTACTAATTATAAACAAAAGCATCTTTATATTCAGGATCACAGCTGAAATCAAGGGAAATATAAGTTTGTATTTTCTAATCTATCTGCCTAATTTTTCTCAATGTACTTCTGAGATTTATCCCTGATGTATTATCAAAGTGCAGTCGGTGAAGTGTTAAAAGTGACCCAAGAAACTCTATTATTTGTCAGGAAGGTAGTAAGTGCATGACAGATGCCAAGCAGTAGTGCCTTGTCCTTGGGCAGCCCCATCCACAGGTTCACCTTTGCAGGCTGATTCTTTTTATTTTTGCCTTAGACATAGAAGTATCTTGAATCATTGGCTGCAGGAGCGTTACCAACCTGTAGATTGAGTTCCACTTCGAGACCACTAGAGGGTGCTGGTAGCCCTGTGACAGAGCCTGGCTTTGGTGGCCTGCCTCCTGTCTAGCTCAGTACAGTCCAAACCAGGCCTTGTACCGCCAGTCCCAGTACTGAAAAGCCTTAGGAATATTCCTTTAAGGAAAAAGCTGTTCAAGGAGTGGACCTGGAGAGCTAATAAATTATTTTTCTGCCATGTCACCTTTCATAAATACAGTATCTTTATTCAAGTGAATTTTTGGTCAGAGTAAAGCCAAAATTATTGTATTAGAGCTAAAAAGCAGATGACACAATATAACCCAATAACATTTTTTTCTATAATAATATTTTTACTTCCTTAAGATTACTTACCAAATTCATACAATTTGCCTTTCAATTAAACAGAAATTCCATACTGCCCTCTTCATAGAATCTTGCAAACATCCTGGAAATAACCCTTATCTCCTTGTGGGACAGAAAAATCAGTATATCTTTAAAATTTCATTTAAAAAAAAAGTTATCTTAGTTAGTTCTCTCTACCAGACACAACTTAGCTTTTTTTGTAGACTTAATTTCATGGTTTTAGGAAATGTTTACTTCCATCAGATATTTTGTTCCTTATGGTTTTAAACTGGGATGCTGATAACCTGCCATCCACAAAGGTGTGGTTTAGGACAGGGATCTTCAAATTATTTTGCTCACATATCCTCTAAGGCAGCGGTTCTCAACCTGTGGGTCGCGACCCCTTTGGGGGTCGAACGATCCTTTCACAGGGGTCGCCTAACACCATCAGAAAACACATATATAATTACATATTTTTTTGTGATTAATCACTATGCTTTAATTATGTTCAGTTTGTAACAATGAAAATACATCCTGCATATCAGATATTTACATTACGATTCATAACAGTAGCAAAATTACAGTTATGAAGTAGCAACGAAAATAATTTTGTGGTTGGGGGGTCACCATAGCATAAGGAACTGTATTAAAGGGTCGCGGCATTAGGAAGGTTGAGAACCACTGCTCTAAGGGTATTTTGAAAAGCTGTATACCCTAGCTCACATTTTTATATCAACATGTGTTTTTAATCATAGCTTCAAATTGTTGCAAATTGTAATTTCTGTCTTATTGGAAATATAGGCATTTAAAAAAACACCCATTACATTAGTCCCAAATGTATTCAGTAGATAAATACCAGAGCAATTTGATACCCATTGTCTTCTGTTTAGAAATATACAGACAAGTCCTTAATAGTCAGAAATATTATATTTCATAGTTCCTTTTCCTCTGAAATAATATTTTGATTGTGTATACCCCATAGTATTTTATGTTAATATGTTTTTGCTTGAACTTTTAAAAATTCTTCATCCTTTCATATTTCTCTGCCACAGTCATTCACCCATTGGAGGAATTTTGGGTTATATCCAGTATTTTACTATTATGAATAAGGCTATTATGTACTTTGGTATATAGATTTTTATGTGAACACAAATTTTCATTTCCTCGAAGACTGTATACATTTCTGGAAAATAGCCTTGCTTGATTCATAGTATACAGTTCAAGAAGACTTTCTAATCATTTGGTTAGAGTTCAATAATAAGGGACAGGGTTTCCAAAGATTTTATTTAAATAAGACCATGTCACTGTAAGAGAGTAAATGAGAATGGATTACAGAGAGTTTAATGTAATGCTTTTTATTTTTTTTTAAGACTCTTTGGACAACAAGGAAAAGAGAACGTTCAGCCTTGAGGAAAAGTCCAAAGTCTCCAAAAACCGTGTTCATTATAAGAAGTTCACAAAAGGTAAAATTAAGCGTTTATTTATTTGTTATTGATACCTCTGTGTTCCCACTGGGTTTCTTAAAGCAGTTTTAGCTCTTTGCCAGCATTACTTCTTGTTTTATGTTCAAAATGGGGAATTATGGATAACATGACTGGGTGGATCTAAAGCGGTGCTCAAGTTTCAGTATTTATTGTTAGTCTACTGGGGATCTGGTTAGAGTGCATCAGATTCATTAGCTCTGAGGTGGGGCAAAGCTGGAAGTCAACTTGCTATTTAGAGGCAAAAAGGGACTTTAAATGGCTAGGTAAGGAAATAATTCTAATTAATTGCTTAATGCTCAACATTTTTAGTTACATTTTCTTGTTTTTCAGAGTTTGATGTTGGTGTTGAATAGTTCCTGACATTTTTCAATTTAGAGAATTATTCTCTGTAATAAGAACTCCAGTGTGAGAAATCTCACTTCCCAGTTGATCTTTATATTATTCCACACCTTTTCTTCATTTCATGGAGTGTTAACTTAGGCACTCCTTTTCATTGCGAAGATAGTGTTAGAAAACATGTTTGAGAACTGGGTGGTAAATCCTATCTTCCTCCATCACCTCCCCACTCCCCAATACTTGTAGTCAATTGTGCATGCAGTTGTCCTCTTTAACCACTAGGTGGCGGTCTTGTATTATAAGAAACAATTTAAGTAGAACTCATCTACTCCCCAAATGTTTTCCCAGAAAACAGTGTTCTGTATTAAGTGCACTTTCTAGGGACAGAAGCCTATTTATTGCATAATATACTTAAAGTATTAAATATAATGATAATTTATGTTGTAATATTCAGTCACAGTTTGATGGTTCTTTTATGGGAGATTAGATATACACACCCATCTCTTTGCTTTAGTCTTGTTGACATGATTGGGAATTCCCTAACTCCTAGAACCTGCCTGAATAGCAGTGGGAGCTGAAATTCCCACCACTTTAAACTATTAATGGTGGTTCTCACAGGGGCACAGGACCCCAAAAGGTAGGAGTTTGTTTGCTGTAAATGAGAGCCCACGGCAGAGCTGAATGGAGTGGGGAGCTGACTAGCGTCAGGAATGTGTGCAAGGAGACGCTGTGCTTACTTCTGGCCTGTCCCAGTGGGTGTGGTTTGTATGGCTCTTCCTGTCATCCCTCTTTCTCTCAGGCTAGAACCTCTTGTTTTTCTCTGTGGCTTCCGATCAGGGTTGCTCTCTGCCCCGACCTGCTGCAGGACAGAAGACAGGCCTTGCTGGCCCTTCAGTCCTTTTGAGGAGAGGCTGAAGGTCAGTCCATGCCCATGTCCAAGCCCTTAAATGTCCCTCCTTTTCTCATTAGACCCTATAGAAAAAAAAGAGACAAAGCAGAAGAGTCCTGAGCAAATTCGTGACATTAAAAGTGTGCCTGTGTCTTTTGGACAGTATGGCATCCTTTAAAGCTTTCACTTTTGCAAATAAAATCTTCTAATTTTCTTTTTGTTCCCGACCATATGCATGAGTTCATCTGAAGCATTTGCTGAAGCCAGGATAAACCTCATTAATCTACTTTAATCTAATGGGTGCCGGGAGTATCTGCTTTCTATTTCTCTATTTCTAGTTAAGCCACTCCCTTGCCAGGTGACCCTGTCAACTTGCTTGGTGTGTTGTGCCTTCATTCTTTCTCTTTTAAGATGAGGTCCGCCTACTTATTAGCCTCCTTGGGGAGGCGGGGACATTGGTATGCAGGGAAGAGAGTTCCAGGTATATTGTGAGAAAGTAGAGGAGACGGAGTGAGAAAACAGAAATGCAGATTGGGAATAAGTAGAAAGATGGGAGAGCTAGGCAGAAATCCAAGTAGTGGAGAAGACTATTTACCATCCATCTTAACAATATGCAGGAAAAGGTTATTTTAAAGTTCTTTATTTGCATAAAATAAATTAATTCTTGTAGAGCCACTATTGTCACCGGATATGAATGATCAACTCTTTTTCCTCTAAGGTAGGCTGTCTTAGGTCACAGGAAAGCTGGTGCTGGCCATCACTCTCTCAGATAAATCCCTTAACCACCTTCCTTCTTTCAGACTCAGTTTCCTCTTTTGTAAAGTGAGGAAAGATTTTTAAGACATTATTGAGTTCTAAAATAGGTTCTGTTTTATGACTTATTGGTAATGACCCCATTGTATGGAACTTTTGATTGTTTAGCATTATCTACACTAATAAAAGAGAAAAATGGTAATTGGCGTACGACGCTACCCTTTTCATTGACTAATCAGGGCTATATGCAAATTAACTGCCAACTCAGATGGCAGTTAACTGCCAACAAAAATGGCGGTTAATTTGCATATGTAGGCACAATGCAGGGAGGCGAAAGGGAAAGCAGGAAG